AATTATTTCAGACAACACAACTAGCAGAGCAACAAATAGTAGTGCATCCATTACAGTATGCGTTTGTTACTTTGATAATACAACATGCTGTTAAACCCTATTACTGTCAGAATCCTTCTAAGGTTAAAAATGTTTTTTATGTCCAAAATCCTTGAGGCAAATTACAAATCCTCTGCTTTTGTTTGCTTGTTTGTTCTTTTGTTTTTTGAGCAAAGACATTCACAAGCATTTTGGACACATGCACAAATTCTGCATCCTTGTTGTCAAGGTTAAAGACATTGCACTGACATCAGCTTCTGTGATTGGGAGTGAGATCCAGTTTGAACAGTAAAAAAAAGTACACTGAGATTTTGACCTCTGCAGAGACGCCATGGGGTAAAAAAAAAAAAAAAAAAAAGCAAGAGGGCTTTGTAGACGATAATCAGCTGCAGTTTTTAAAACTGCAGGCAAATCAAATTGATTAATGTTTTATAAAAACTAATTAACTGTTTACTTGGAAATGAATGCACTGGGGCCAAAAACAATATTTATTCAACTTTTACTATATTTTTTTAGCGAACATGTTCTCACTGGGCTCAAGCTGTTTCTTTACATGACTGATGATTTGTCAATTGGCTAATCTCACCATGTATTATCACTCTAAAGATCATCGTGATGGGGAATAGGGTTTTTTTTATAGTGTGCTCTTTAAAGGGTCATTGCAACTCATTTATAGATAAAGCTCAGTGTGGACATTGTGAGACACAGTATTCAGCCCTCTTAAGGATACATAAGCTTTGCTAAAATCCTTCCATCTTATCACTGGCTCAGAGACTACTGAAATCAGTGTTACAAACTTAGGTCATAGTCTTTGAAGGGCATGGGGACTTACCTATAAGGAGTGTATAAAAAAGAAACTATGAGCAAGTTACAGCTTGCTAAGTTGGACCACTTTTGCCTTCTGAAATGCTGTAATTCTTCATGACACAGATTCAACAGGTGGCTGGAAAGAACATGATAGCATCACAGAGTTGCTGCAGGTTTGATGAAAATCAACAATGTAAATTTGCTGTTCTCAAAGGTGCTCTTCTGGATTGAGATCTGGTGACTGTGCTGGCCATTTGAGCACAGTGAACTCATCGTTACCTTCAAGAAGCCAGTTTGAGATCATTTGAGCTATGTGGCGTGAGGCACTGTCCTGTCCATCAGAAGATGGGTACACTGTAGTCATAAAGGGATCGACATGTTCTGTAATAATAGTCAGGGAGGCTGCGGTGTTTAAACAATTCTCAGTTGGTCCTAAGACAGACTATTCTTCGCACCATTACACCACCACCATATTGAACTAACTATACTAAGCAGGATGGATCTATGCTCTCATGTCTTCACCAAATTCTGACCCTGCCATGTGACTCTCACAGAGGAATCAAGACTCATTACAAAAGGCAACGTTTTTCTAATCGTCTAGTTTTGGTGAGCCTGTGTGAACTGTAGCCTTAGTTTGCTGTTCTTAGTTGACAGAAGGGGAATCTGCTGCTGTAGTTGGAAATACTGTACTGACAGTGTTATTTATGGAAAAATTCTATATGGGAATAGAAATTCTTTATGATTAAAAACAGAAAATTCCTGTAAAATAAACACCAAAATCCAAAGTCCATTTGTTATGCTTTACCTGGTTCTTTGAACTTGCTGCTGGCTATGTTTCCTTGCTGTGTCTTTATTGATTTAAAAGTTAACTGCTGTTGATATTGTAAAATGAGGTGACTCTGCTATATGAATAAAACTGAATTAAACAGAACTGAAAAAAGATTTAAAAAGTTATAGAAATTCTATTGATCGTATTTTTAATGACTCTGGACTGTAAAGGTATTTAATAATAATCATTAATAATCATCTGTTCAAATCTGCATATTCACTGTGAATCCACTGTTTGTTCATTTTATCTTGTGCTTTATTTTATTGTTCTTATTCTGCCATTGTTTTACTAAGTGTTTTATCCTATTGTAAAGTGTCCTTGGGTAACTTGAAAGGCGCTCATAAATAAAATTTATTATTATTATTATTATTATTATTATTATTATTATTATTATTATTATTATTATTATTAATAATAATAATAAATATTGTTTAAACTAAGATATCTGAAGACTAAAATAAAATAAAATTTCTATCTTCCATTATTCTTTTCTGTAATTTTACCAATTTGATCAGTAATATTAAAGAATATACAACTAATAAAAAATCTTCCATTGGTGAAATTAATTATAATTACTTCAGTTTACTAATACTTCAACATGACATATACTCATTAAAAAAATATATAAAATCTTTAAAACTTTGTGGGGAGTAAAAACTTCTATAATTACATAACAATGGACAATCAAATCTATATAAATTACTGAAACTTCTCTGCTCAATTTAAAATGTTTAAATATTTGTATGTATGTACAGCATAAAAAATGGATATTTGTGAAATTAGATTCAATTTTATTCTTTTTATAAGGAAAAATACAATTTATGAATCAAAAAAAGTAAGTAAATTAAAATAAATTTCATGTTTATTTACAGTTATGGGCATTTTACACTAGACATGTTGATTAAGAACCAATTTTGGGGAATTTTTTATGATCTGTATCAAAACTCTGTAAAAATCTGTCACATTAGGGTTTGTTTGTTTTTTTAACAGTAAACAGAACTGTTGCTCATTGGATGTTTTTTCTTTTTCTCTTATTCTGTGTAAACTGATGTGTGGGAAAGTCCCAGTACATCAGAAGTTTACGAAATAGTCATCTGATACCAAAACAAAGTCACTTAAATTACATTTATTCCCCATTAGGATCCCAGTTTGAACTTCAATTCGTTGTCTTGAGATGCCTAAATGCACTGAGTTGTTGTCATGTGATCGGCTGATTAGATATTTGTGTTAAATAGTTCAGCAGGTGTACCTAATGAAGTTCCAGTGTTTTTATGTTTGATTCAGCCTAATGGCATGATGACTAAAGGCTATCATAATGATCATTACTTAACATTTACACCTGTGTTATGCAGGGGAAAAAGGAGAAAACAAACAAAATTGTTTTTAAAGTATTTTTTTATTTAGGAAGTGAAACAAAATGCCCAGTGTTGTCTTTGTGCTTTACATGGTTTCAAACCGGCCATTTGAGGTCTCTAAAAAAAACCCTCAGAGGAAGAACTCAAAACAAAGCAGGAAGCTCCAAAAGAATTCATCATTCTCCCCTTCATCATTATCATCATCACTGCCAACATCATCATCATCATCATCATCATCATCATCATCATCATCATCATCATCATCATCATCACTCGTTACAGTTCTGTAGAAATAATCAGACTCCAAAGTCATATCAGTGCTTATTTACAAGGCCTCTTGCTGCAAAATAGTTAGGTTTTTATTTACTCTAAAAAAGGTGTGGTGTAGTTGCGTTCACAAATATATTAAGAAAAATGACACAACACATACTGAAAGTGTCATTTTTAACAGTATTTTGTGGTGTAGGACAACAGCCTGTGTTACATCGGCATATTTGTTGCCGTTTCTATCTTTGAATCATTGTAGTAGAAAAATGAGAAAGAGGTTATTTCTACATACAAGGCATCGTCTACCTGAATCTAAACTCTTTCATTGTGCTACTATCTTTGAAAGAAAAGGTTTTAGGTTATAATTCATAAGAGGAAGTGCTTTTATATAAGAATAGGTAAACTAGCTTGTGGCTATAGTAGGCTACAGTAGTTCATAGTAGAATCTAAGTGTTCGGCGATGCACTCTGGTGCTGAAATATTGACCAAATGTCTCCTCTTTGTTCTCAACAAAAGTCTGAATCACATCGAGAACTGCCACATTAAATTCACAACAGCCAGAGATGATGAAAAGAAAAACAACCTGAAATCAGGAAGAGCCTTTGAGTCTTCAAATGGAGTTTGGTGTTTTCATGTAAAGCCCTCGAGCAAAACTGATCTTCTGATTGGATTTTAAAAAAA